TAATGTCTTGTCATGAATTTCACAACTTTTTTATTACATTCTTGTGTTAAAATTGCCAACTTCCGGATTCATCATGTTACTCGAAAATAAAATAAACAAGCATAATCTAAGCCTTATTTCTAGACTTATTAATTATTGAAAATTTTACAATGCATTAGAAGTGAAGTTGAAGAAAGAACATCTCAACCGATCATAAATCAAGGAAGAACTAAATCCAAGCCTAGATTTAGCCAAATCAAATTGTAGCAAATTATCCTCAATTTGAAAGCCTCCTATCAAAATCGACGTCCTCGGGTTTTTACCTCCATCTAATATACCAAGACAATAGGCGTTATCACTAGCCCTAACCATGGAGTTAGTCGCGGCTATCCTCCAAAACACCTTCTCGCTTTGCAACACGAGGTCGATGTCCGGTACCACGGGCCCGATCCTCGTGTAACTTAACGAGGTAGGGTCGTAGCACAACGTGAATGGTTTAACCGGGGGAACTCTTTTGGCAGGAAAAGATGAGTTCCTTAGTTGTCCGTCGAAGGCGGCCGTGACCGCCTTGTAGATAGAAGATTGTAAAAGAGTGTAAGGGTGATTAACACTTAACATGGTTCCACCGTTACCTCTACGATTTATAGATAATAAGAAGTTGTTAAGTGTTACATTTTTATTTCCAACTTTGATTCCTTGAACTCCTATGAAGAAGTTGTTGGGTCGGGCCGAGTTAGCGATGATAGGAGTGTAGGAAAGCAAGGTTGTGGCATCTACCCCAGGGAAGAAATTGTAAGGCCCGTCTCCGATAAATACGACACCGTTTTCCCTAAGTGGAGATAAGCACAACGCGAATTTTCGAGGGAGACGAAAAGATGAGGAAAGTTGAGAAGGGAGAGATGTTTTAGAGTTCCCGAGACCAGCAACTCCGGACACTCCTTTCGCGAGGCCTTGTAACAAGGACATGGGCGCGCAAACAAAGAGGTTGTTGGGCATGGTGACGAGTTGTCCCGGGTTAGATCCGTCAGTGGAGTTGATACGGATAACATCGGTAGCTAGCTCGCCACCTCTACGTGGAGAGACGTTGGTGAAGGGGTTATTGAGGGAGAGAGTTCTACATGTGTTTTTGTTGCACCCGGGTTTGAAGGGAGTAGGACCGCACGTCCTACATCTTTCGGTGTTGGCAAGAATGCATGGAGGAGAGCCGCAGGAAGCGGGGCGGTACGTCGTGGAGACGTAACGGTTGCCGCAGAGTACCCATGAGATAGGTGTGCTTAGGTCTAGGGTTAAGAGTACGGGTACAGGGGGAGTCCTTTGGATGAGTTTGGTTGTGTATTGGAGTGTGGAGGGGTCTTTTGAGACGGTAAGGACTAAAGCCTTAGGGCGAAACGCAGTCGAGGTTGAGGTCAAAGCCGAGGCAGAGGAGGTTGTGTAGATGATGTAGGTGATGAGGAGGATTGAGCAAATGAAGGAAGCCATGTTAGATAAGCTAAGGTGGAATGCGATGAAGTATGAGAGTGTAGAAAAAGAGATGTCACAATTTAAAGAGTGTTGGGAAATTTAAATTAATGAAAAACATGATAGCCTGGTTAGTGGTATTATGTCAATTTGGGTTATTTTAGTATAAAAAAACCAAGTTGTTAGATTGAAATTGAGAGTTAGAGAGGTTCCAGCTAATGAAAGTTGACATTGTTAAATAAAGTGTAACATAAATTTAGATTACTATGGGAAACACAAACCTGCAAACCGGATCTAATTTGGCAGTTGCAAGCAAGAGTAGTGTAGTTGCACTATTATAACATAGTAGTTTTTTTAGCGTATAGATCATTCAAGGACATGTTGCTTTTTATTTATTTATGGATTTTTTTTTTTAAAAAAAATACCTAATACAACCTAAAATTCGTGAGAAACTATCTAATAAAAAAATGTTTTAAAAAACTACCTTATAAAAGGTAAAATGTTTTGAGGCATTACATTTGGCCGAATTTCCACCGTTAATCTAATTTTAAGGCGTTGGTTAACCTACCTCAAAATACCCCGAAAACCACCACATAGGTTGCTTTTCAAGGTGGTAAGCAGGGGAGAATCCAGGATTTTCAAGTCCTGAGAGCCGGACAGTTAATAGATAATTTAAAAAATTAAAATGTACTAATATTTTATTGTTACTATAAAAAAGAGTTAAATTTTACTCTATGTTTTTTCATAATAGCAAAATCATCAATAAAGATTCAACAATAAAATTTACTGCAATCTCTCATTAACAAATTTATTAAATAATATAAATATTAATTGTTTTTTTAATAAAATCTATGTCCAAGTTGAATAAACAAAATCTTAATAAAAAATAAATAAATTGTTTGGTATAGGATTCCATCCCAACTCCCTCATGAAAAAACAACACTCCTTAACCAACATAACAATGCTTGTTTACTAAAATTTTGTATCTTTAATAGTATATGTGATAATTTTAATGGGGCCCCATAGCATTGAAAACATGGACTGCTATCTAGGGAGGTCGAGCCTCCACCGACCCCCCTCCCCTCTGCCCCCGCTGTGGTAAAGTTATTTTTAAGGTGGTTATTAGAAGATATTCCGAGTTGGTGAGAGTGTATGTAGTTTAATTTCATGATCCAAGATGTTGATTTTTGATGTTAGAGGTGGTGGTTTTGGAATTGGAGGGTGGTTTCGGCTTTGTGAAGGCAATTTCAAGTAGGTTGTATTTGTTTGGGGTGAAAGCGGTGGTTTTGGGGGTGCTTTTTATGTGGGTCAATGGTGGATTTTCGGTGGAGGTAGTATTTTACAACAATTAACATTTTGTTAGGTAGATTCTTACAACATTTTACCTTCTATTAGGTAGTTTTTTACAATATTTTTTTTATTAGATAGTTTTTTCACAAAATCTAGACTTTATTATTAGGTAGTTTTTAAAAGAAGTCCTTTATTTATTTAAAATTTTATTTGTTCCAAATTTGGAAAATGTAGAACTTAAAGTTCAGTGAAAAAGAGCAAGAGCAAGAAAACGAGATAGGGAGTCTACTTTATGACACTTTGACAATGTACTACAAATTAAAATGTTTCCATTTTTCCATTCCTATGTCCAAAAAAAAAAAAGTTTCATGAAACAACAAGTTTTGTCTGTGGCTGGCCACAAGCGTGACTAGCTAACACACAAGTAACCCCTCCAACCTAGTAATCCTTGATCAAATTAGTAACCCCTCCGACCTAGTAACCCCTAAACAACCTAGTAACCCCTCCAATCTAGTAGCCTTTTCGACCTAGTAATCCCTAACTGAGTAACCCCGCCCCCAAGTAACCCAAAACAAAAAAAGTTGTATTTGCCACCACCTTCGCACCTAACCAACCATTCCTCCACTGCACCTGACCACCTCACCTTCCTCATAACCCGCATCAATCTCAGGCCACCTGACCACTGCTCCTCCACCGCATCTGACCACCTCACCTTCTTCACAACTCGCGTCAAACTCAGGCCACTACACCACCGCAAAAACCTCCTATCTAACACATCTCACCTATGTCGAAATTGATCACTACAAAAAAGACGAACGAAGACGACGACGACGATGGTCACTAGTTCAGCCGCGAAAACTTGTTTAATTGGAATGAATTGATGAATTTGTACCTTAATCTCTTGAAATTTGGGGGAAATGTTAGGTATTGGATCTTCAAAATTTGGTTGCAATTCCTCATAATATCTCCTTCAAATCTGCAATTCACCACAAAGTAGATAAAGACGACGGCAGAGGTGGAGGTCGATTTGGCTGATTTTGCCGGAAAAGCTGAAGACGAAGACGACGGAGGCCCGGGTTGGTTTGGAGCTTCGAGGAGCTTTCACGACGACGAATCAAAGATGGAGACAACAATCTAGGTTGGAGCTTCGAGGAGATCAGGACGAAGATGACCTAGCTCGGCCATTGATGGTTAGAAAGAGAAAGTTAGAAAGATAAAATGGAGGAGAGGAAAGAGAAAGTAAAAAAATTAAAAAAAAAAAAAAATATGACTGGTTGCATATAAATTTGTGTTCATAAAAAATTTCAATAAAGCTATTAGATTTGGCCAAACTTTCAATAAAGCTATTAGCTTAAAAAGGTCAATTAAGACAAGTGCATCATTTAGAAAAGATTGAACAGAATAACTAAAGTAAAATCATAGATAGAGTGTCCAGAAACATCCCTAGCTTGCATAAGCCTAGTAAGGATTCCCTTCCCATCTTTTAAGGGGTGTTTAGTTCACATATTGATACGGTTTGGAATCAGGAATAAAATAGCATTGATATAAGTTTGGAGCCCAGCTAATTCTTATTAGAAAAGGTATTGCGTGCGTGCGGATACACGAACTGTTTGGTGCGGGAGGCCGGCTAGGCTAATGTTTTTTACTCGTTGGCTTATATGTTTCATGTATTGGCTGAAATGTCATTTGTTGGCTGATATGGTTTTTAAGCTGGCTAATATAATATTCTTTTTGTTGGATGATATGTTTTTTTTTTCTTTTGTTGGCTTAGACATAATTTGGCTTATATGTTTCTTTACACTAGTGGAAAAAAGGTCATCCGTAACGGGCAAAAAGGGTTCATCCGTAACAGGCAGCGTCCGTTACGTATGCGGCCGTTACGGATGGCCATTGTTATTCGTAACAGGCACTGTCCGTTTAAATAACCCGTTATTCGTAACTGACATTTCAAATGTCCGTTACGAATAACCCGTTATTCATAACTGACATTTCAGTTATTCGTAACGGACATTTAAAATGTCCGTTACGAATAAGTTATTCGTAACGGACATTTGAAATGTCCGTTACGAATAATGAGTTATTTGTAACGGAAATTTCAACTGCCCGTTACAAATAGTGTGTACCCCAATTTTTTAAAAAAATCCAGCACATGCTGTGCTGGATTAGCCAACTTACATAATAATTATAGCAAAATTATTTTATTAATTAACTGAGATAAAAATATTACTTCATATTCATACAATCAGCAAAAAAAATACATTTATTATCGCCTAATAACTAAAATTGAAAAAAATAGAGCAATAGAAAATCTCACTGGCAATAAGAGATTTAAATGATTTTCCACTAAATTAATATTAAATCGTTTGCATCTTCCACTAATTTTTCAAGTTACTGCAACTCAAGTGGTTTGTCTGGAGCACCAACTTCCGCCGCAAAATCAATCATCTCTTGTTTCTGACCAAAAAGAAATCAGCACCAATTGACAGTCTCAGGTTAAGGAGTTACATATTCCACTTCATCTCTGTCCAAAGATGGATTAGAACCATACATAGATTGTAATTGGTCTGAGGAATCTGATAGACTCTGGAGACTGTTTATTGATTTACTGTATGAGCCTCCCATTGAAAAATGCTTCCTCAAAGATGGAAAAAAATGGGATGCTTGAGCTGCGTCTGACTCTGCTACACTAGCAAATTTCTGAATGCGAGAGCTTGTACTTGATTGTTCGAAGGAACGTAACAGCAGATCACGCTTATTCTGGTTAAATGGCTCAGGAAGACTCTCCTCAGGTATATTAGTACCCTACATTCATAAATCAGATATTATAATGACTATTCAAATCAGAATATCAGAATTTCATGTACATATTAAACATTATTTCACGTGCATATCAACCCAGGGAAGTTATAACATCTTCCTTTCCACAGGACATGAGATTATGAGAATGATAGATTGACAGGTATGTACAGAAACAGAACAATTCGTTGAGTAAACTGGACATTACCATCTCCATTCAAAATGATGCATTTCAAATTCTATGAGTTGATATGCACGTGGAATAATGAGATGATACTTGTTTTAATGAGATGATACTTGTGTTTGAAGTTATATGAGTCCAATTTAATGAGATGATACTTGTTTTAAGCTTAAACAAAATTTCTGAAGCTTTTGTCGAAAAAAATTAATCAGAGAGTACTTCAGAACATTAAAAGAGACTCTTAACACATTTGAGTAATGTATTCCATATACTGCTAAATGGTAATGTACAAGTGCAATATTCTTCAGTATGAAAAAAAATCAAGTAGAAGCCAAACCTCCACCTCCCACCCTCTCACTCTACATATAGCTCCCGAAAAAAGTAGCCAGCGACAGCAACTATTAATAAATTATCTTTAGTCTGAACAACTATAAATTCAATACAAGTGTTTGTCTAATTCTGACACACTAATATACGATCCAGGTTTCCTCTAAGCCAATATAGCTCTACTAAACATGAAGACTGTCCCAAGAAACTACATGAACAACAATGCTACTTAATGTTATAGTTATCCTGTTGCCATAACTACCAAAACAGAACATATACTATGTTTTAGATTGAATGCAATGTATGGGCACATTTAGAGCTAAATGACTGAATCCGCAATAGGTTTTCAGAGCAAAAACGCAATTGTTATCCATCAACCAATTTATCAATTAAGAAAAAGACAAATATAAACAAACTTACAACCTCAACAGGAAACATTAGTAAAACGTATAATTTTCTTCACAAAACTATTATGCCTTTATCATCAAATACACCCTTCAACAATACCAACTTTCACAAAAGTGATAGTTAAGTAGCATCTAGATTAAGGTTTTGCTCAATATTAAATTAAAATATAGTAAAATTCGTAGCTACTCTTATCATGGAATTTTTAACCCAGCCATTATACACCTAATATCATTGACCATGAACTGCTAAATTATGAGGGGTTTTTTTTAAAAAAAAATAAAATAAAATTTGAGATTAACCTACCAAAGAAAAAGTAAAAAAAAAAAATCAAGAGCCCCCGGCTTCTTTTTTTTTTAATTTAAAATAAGACTTGTTTTTGAAAAAAAAAACCAGAACAAGGTTTAAAAGAAAAAACAAAACAAAGTACAAAGAGAGGACAAGGTGTCCAAATACCATTAAGCACAACCAGAAAATACAAGAGATAAAATGTTGTCCAAATACAATTTCTGTAAAAATTAACATTATACACAACAGCAAGTCCGCAAGAAAGTAATTAAACAAAACCCCATAAATAAGTAAGTATTTTAGGGATTCAACCGATTAGCTGGCAATTGCAATTGAAATTCATATTTTAGGGATTCAACCGTTTAAGTAAGTAATGAATTCAGACTATGAAATGAATAGAAAGAGAGAGAACCTTCCAGATAGTAGAGCGGATGGCGGGAGCATCAAGAAGACCCATGGATGCTAACCTTACTCAAATCATTGGTTACATACGAGCTTTAGATAACACCCTACGCAGAAATGAGATAACACCCTTTATCACAAGAAAATTAATTGATAAAATTAAAAATAATAAATCTGAAGCAATCTTGATGAAGGCGTTTTGTTTATGTAACCTTGCTCAAATCATTGGTTACATACGAGCTTTAGACGTACTCATTGCAATGGGTGAACCAGAGTATGTATTACCCAATATACGAAGCACTAGCATGATATCATATATATTCTCCCCTTCTATTTTCTTTTTCTGTCTTCGTCTTCTCCTGTCACCTACCTACTCTGACATAAATCTTATGGTGGCCTCCTCTCATTGATCTTGAAAGCACCACCACTACAACCAAGCAGTAAATGCAATTGTCTATCTTCCTGCACATTTGGTCAAGCCACAAATCTTAATATATGTAATGTCATTACTAATAAACACATGACAGACATATATAAAGCAATAACATACATATATAAAGCAACAACAGTCGCTGACTCAATGTAATAAGTCCAGCAGAATTTATATGCACAAACTGAAATTTCAATCACTTTACATATTTCTAAAATTAATATTTTGTTCAAAAATAAATTTTTACAAAAATTCATATTATATAAATCCACTCCCCCCTACTAAATTCCCGAGCTCCATTAACATACACAGATGCACATGCACTAACATGGCTGTTGCTATTCTAAAAATAGCTAGATCTATAGTCTATGGTCTGATTCCATTTAAATATCAAAATTCCAAACCAAAACTAAAAATTATACAAAAAAATAAAGAAAATAAAATACAGGCATTTATAATTCCCAAATGACTATAAATTACAAAGAAATATCCAAAATTAATTTCTTGAACACATAGAATATGATTAAAGGGTCGATAATGATTCAAATCATAAGCATTTACATCAAATTCTCCATTACCATTTTTATTTTCTAAGCATTTAAATCACAGCCCAAATCAGCAAAAAAAATAAAAAAAAGTTGAACTCAAAATCTAGAATTACAGATAATAGAGCTCCCAAATTTGAATTTTTTTAATCGAACGAATGTATGAAATAAAAATCCTAATCAAAGAAACCCACGAAAATTATACACAGCCAAAATGAATTAATCTTTGACACATTCCACCCAAAAAAAAAAATCACACACACAGAATTTCGAATAAATTAGAGTATACAACAAAATATCCAGCAAAATTAACACAAACCCATAAATCATCCAAATCAAGTAACACAAATTAGATCAAACAAACCAAGAAATAAATTAAACAAAAAAACAAAATGAACCCATAAACAAAAAATCAAAATAAAACCCCAAAGAAAGAGAGATTAGTTCACCTTCAGAAATAGCATTCTGAATCTCAGTACATTGTGCAATAACACCTGGGTCATTAAGACCTTCTTCTTCTTCAATCAAACTCTCAGAGTATCCATTCTTATTATTGTTAGCATGCACAGAATCAGGGGAAAGCTTAACCTGTGAAACGATGTACCATTGAATTAAAGAGAAAACGATTCCAACTACCACACAAACTACTGGAATCAAAATCTTTGTTCCAAGATCTGGAAGAAGAACAACACCCATATATTTTTTTTGGAAGAACAACAACACCCATAATTTTAGGCTTCAAAGAAGGAGCGGGTTTATTGTCATCGGGAAAATTATTAGGGTGTTGAATTTTCTCGGAAATCTTCTCCATGAGAGATTCGGGCTCAGAGATTGAATGAGTGAGGAGAAGAGAGAAATTGAGTGAAGTTAGAGAGGAGAGAGGAAAGAGGGGTCGGTATGACGGCTTGAGGAGAGTGAAAGTGTGGAACTAACCCTAGTTATAAGAATGGGCTTTTTTCATTAGCTGGACCAAATTCAGACATTTGTAACGGGCACTATCTTGTCCGTTACAAATAAATAGGTATTCGTAACGGGCATCATTTTGCCCGTTACAAATAACATGCTTTCCGTAACGGGCAATATGGTGCCCGTTACGAATAATATGTATTTGTAACGGACTGTTATTTTGACCGTTACGAATATGTTTATTGTAACGGGCATAACTTTGCCCGTTACAAATAGCCCGTTACGAATGACAATTTTTCCACTAGTGTTAGTTGGCTGATATATTTATTTTATTAGCTGATATGTATATTTTAATTATTGGCTTATATGTTTCATTTTGTTAGTTGATATGTTTATTTTGTTGGCTTACTTGTTGTATTTGTTGGTTGATATGTTCCTTCTGTTGGCTTATATGTAGCTTTTGTTGGCTGATATACTCCTCTTGTTTGCTTATATGTATCTTTTGTTGGTTGATATACTCCTCTTGTTGGCTTATATGTATCTTTAGTTGGCTGATACGTTTTTCCGAATGTCTTATATGTCCTTAATGTTGACTGATATAAGACATTAATTGGATGATATGTTCATTCTAATGGCTAATATAGAGCTTTTATTAGCTAATATTAATAACATACCCAAAAGGCCAAAATAATTTATTTTTCTCTCTCCTCTTTTCCCCTCTTCTTCTCTTTCTTTCTCAAAGAACCCACAAATTCACGCCACCCCATCCATCAAACACCAAATACCAAACACCGAACCACCAAACATCGAACCATTGTCGCACCCTTACCTCACGCCACACCCAACCAGCCACCACCCAAGTAGCTACCACCCTAACCCACGATCCTTACCTCACGCCACCATCAACTAACAAACTCCACCAGCAGAGAACTGCCACCAATCAGTCACAACCACCATCCGTTTCTACTGTGTCATTTTTTAAAAAATGACACCATAATATGATGATGTGTCATGTTATGATTAGTTCATTTTTAATTTATTTTTAAAAGCCTAAATATAATATACATGTATGTATTATTGTAAATACATGTTTTTTTTAAAAAAAAAAAATAATATGTAATTATAGCTTTTTAAAATCTATTTCTTTTCTTATTAAAAACATTTTCCAAAATTAAATTATAATTAAAATCTAGAAATAAAAAAAATTCATCATTGTTCATCATCAATCTTCATTCATGATAGTAATTAACCCACTACCATAATCTTGTATTATCTATTCGTAACGAAGATCAAAATTCTTACCAAAATTCCATCCAAATTTTTTTACAAATTTTGTTTTAGGGTTCGATTGATTATTTTGATTAATGTAAATATCATATTATTTTATAGTTTTGAGAATGAAAAAAACATTAGGAAGGTGTATTATGATGATGTAAATGCCTATCTTTCATTTTTTTAAACGATGAATGGATAACGAGGGGTTGCTCTTTGATTTAGAGTTTTTTTTTTTTTTTCGCGCTGTTTGATCTAGAATCTTGTTTTCCAATTTTTGTAATCTGTTTGTGATTAGGTAATCACCTATATTTAGTTAGGTCATTACCTTAAAAATTTAGTTTTACTTTTGTAGGTGGAATCTACTTATACGCTAATCGTATGACAAAAAATAATTTATGGAATTTTTGTCATATAATTTTAGCAAAAAATGTTTTTGGGATTATTATCTTATTATAATTTGGAAAAAATATTTTTGGAATTTTTATCATATCATTTTAGCAAAAAATATGTATGGGATAATTATTATATTATATTTTGGAAAAAATCTTTTTGAAATCTCAGCATATAAATTAGTGGCTATAATATTGGGATAATCCTAATTAGCTTTTATTCACTTTTTTTTTGTTATTAGCTATATATTAGTGTAGACACCCATTTGTGTCTCCCCAAAACCAAACTCAGTGATGAGTACCTTTCATGTCGAATCATAATCGAATGAAGTGAAAGTGTGGAAAGTTTAGTGTTGCGAAAAGTTTTAGTTTCTTTTCTCTTATCTTTGTTTTTGAAAACCTATTTTGAGAAAACAGCCAATCCAGTTTGGTTGGTCCATGATATGGGTCCAATAATAGTGTAGTTGGATATGGTTTCAAAAGAGCTTTCCATCGATATATTATAAGCCCAATTCCGATGAATATTGAGGAAGTTATGGCCAAATTACTGAACTGGGCCTGGTTTGAGCCTTATATGTGGCCCAATGATCTAGAGGAGGGCCTAATATAGATTTATCATTCCTAATGCAATTAGGAATGGTTTTAGTCTTCTAGATTCTTCTAGAAGGTTCTTTTCATTTCTAATTCAATTAACATTGATAAATTGACTTTTGTTGACTTTTTAGAGTTTTAATCAAAATCAAAGAACGTTTTTGAGGAAAATACGATTTTATCCTCCTGTACGGCAATTTCTATCTGATTTTAAGAAAACGCGTGAAATTCTTAGTCAACGCCAAACGCCAACTGTAGCGCCTGACGCTACGCTTATTGGCGCCTGACGCTAACCCTTAGAGTCTGGCGCTAAGGTCAGCGTTTGGCGCTAATTTGGCTTTTTGCGTCAGAACTCTGTTTTTGATGTTTTATCTTTTTGGCTGATTTTCTTTATAAATAGTCTCCTAAAACTCCATTTTCATTCATCAATTCTCACCAATTCTCTCTTTCACCAACTCTCATCAAGATTCTCTTGATTACTCTCTCTCTCTCTCTCTGTTTTCTAAACTAGCCTTTTCTCAAATACAAAATTCAGCATTCATTAGACTTAGAAACACCTAGCCCTATTCGAAGTTGTCTTCGCCCTAGACGTGAAAGGTTTAATTTATGAGGGTTTAGTCCCAAATCTCTCTTTCAATTATTTGATTTAATTGTATTTAATTATTATTTTCCTTGAAGTTACTAACATGTGTATTTTGTTATTAGAAAGAGGTACGAGACATCCAAGTAAGTGCTTTAATTGTTTAATTGATATTTTTTATATAGAAATCATGCTTAAGTTATTATTTTAATTCCTAGTATCATGTTAGGATGTTCCTAGTATCATGTTAGGATGCTTTCTTTAGTATGATATTTAGGGTGATTTGCTTATATCAATTATGATTTCTATGATGCTTCTTATTTTCTTTTCCTAATATTCATGTTAGTATCATGTTAGGGTTAAAGATTTGATTTTTATTGCTTAGTGACATGCTAGGGTTTGTTATTAATCTTATTAGTATCATGCCTAGGATCTTGCTATTATTATGCTTTAACATGATTACGGATATTATTATTATTATTATGATTATAATTATAATTGATTATATATTATTATGTTGCTTGATTATATTTATTGCTTGATCACGCCTTTTATGCATGTTTAAAGGGAATTTTGTACTTGTAATCACGCTTAATAAGATAATTAATAATCTTGTTTAGGGTTAATTTGATTATAATTCAAGTGATCGCCAATATTCAACCAACATAGATAAACAAGTTTAGGGTGAACCTGTTGATTGTATGTTAGTAAGAAAGCGCACATGAATACGATCAGAATAAAGTAGAGACCTATTATTAGGGCAGGTTCAATCTCTTTTAGGTTGGATTTGTACCTTCATCCCCGAACTATCAGTCATGGTTCAAGACCTATTGGAGTTGACGATCTCCTGGATCGTTAAGGGGTGTAACCTTCACCTCGTGAACGGTTTACAAGTTCCTAAAACTTGTTGGCGACTCTTTTGCTCTATCTTCTTTCCCTTTGGACGCCACCGCACTTTAGTGTATGATCACAGTGGGGTTCAAGCTAGGGGTAATGCTTGAAATATTCCTTACAATTAGATAATGATAACTTTCTTAAATTACATGTTGTATGATCGTGTACATCTACATCTATAATTTTAGCACCCAACCTTTTTACACATTTTTGCCATATATATATATATATATATATATATATATATATATATATATATATATATATATATATATATATATATATATATATATATATATATATCACTAGATTAGGCTCGTGCGATGCACGATTTGAATATTATTTTACGATTTTAACAATTTTATTTAGCTTATTTGTTTGTAATATGTACGTAGTATTCCCTCCGTCCCTTAATACAACGCCTCTTTCAGACTTTCTCTTTATTATGTGAGAAATAAATGCTCAAAAGAGACATTGTATTAAGGGACGGAGGGAGTACAAATAATTTAATCAACATCTAATAAATTGAGAAATTAATAGTGGAACGCTCAATTCGTATAATCTGTATAAAATATACAGAGTAGGAGGAAAAGATAATGTTTATAAGAAAATGAAATAGTCTGACCTTCTTTTAATTTTCCAATCCAAATTGCATAATTAGTCAATTTAAATATAAAATCTGATAGAGAAATGTATAATTATTTATCATTTTCAAATTTTTATTTATGGTGAAAATAAAAAAAAATAATGTCGTTATTAGTTTTGGCGGGAAATTTTTTTTATAAGAGGTTGACATGTGGAAAGTAATTACATCAGCGGTAATTATTTTACTTATATTTATAGATTTATTTATATTTTGTTTACAAAGTTATACAAATATAGCTTTGTTATATGATTTGCTTGTTTATTTAGCAATTTTATAGAGAAATATTTTCTCTCAAATCGTTAATGACATTTAAGAGAATATTTTTTAAAAAAATATATCAAAAAACCTTCACATATAAGAGTTTACCAAAAAAAAATTTAAATTAGCTTTTGTTGTTCACCTTTTTTTTTTTGTTATTAGCTTTTATTCATGTTGTTTTTTTTTCCGTTTATTAGCTATATATTGTTCGTTATTGTTCTTTATCAAATCTTATGTAACGACCAAAGATAGTTTAAGTCATTACCTAACCCACAAACAATTTCGAGAAAACTTAATTACATTTATAAGATCAAACAGGGGTTGCGGTAGGGTAAAAAAAGTTCAACCCACTCCATCTTCTACAGACTTGATACTCCTTGTTCTTTGAGAAAATTGCACAATTTGAGTCCACATAAATCATATTTTTGAACCAATTAAAGCGGAATTTGTCCTTTGCAAATACTTATAAATGAGATTGTTATTGAGATTTTTTTTACGAACGAAACACTAAAATAAAAACTGCTAAAAACAAAATCCCAACTAAAATTTTTATCACGATTTTAGTTGGGATTTGCGAATTTATCAACAACTAACATTGAATTTGGGAATAGGGGGATAATCTATGACATGATTCATGAACAATAATGAACGATATGATCGAACAATGTTGAACGATGACGATCGAACGATGATGACCCATGATGATGAACGCATACCAACAAAGATCAAACAATGATGAACAATAATGATAGAACAATGATGAACGATGAACGATGATGCTTGAACAATGATGATGATGATGATGAACGATGGAGAGCAATTCTTATCACGATGATTTCTAGTTATAATTATAAATTTGAAAATTAATTTATATTATAAAAATACATTTTCATAATTTATAATTATGTATTTTTAAAAAAGTGCATGTATTAAAAATAATACAATTTTAATACAATTTGGACATTAAAAATAATTCAAAATGAAAATAAAAATACAAGATATAAGCCAATAATATTTTGCTACATCATTAAATTGTGGTGTCATTTTTAAAGAATGACATTGTATAATTTTTACCGTCCACAACAGTTGCGATTTAAAAAGTGAAGATTGAAGAACCCTGCAACTTTCCATGCAAATCGCGGCCTGCACCATTGAAGATTGAAGAACCCTAACAATTCGCCCTTGTTCAATCGATTAAGATCTGTGGGGCATGGTCTGATAATCTTGAATCTGAGTTTTGTTGAAATTGAAGTCGAAATTGAAGTGAAATTGGAGTCCAAACAATTTGATTTAATAGAAAATTGATGAGGAGAAGGAAAGAGAAAGAAAGAGAGATATAAAAAAGACAAAATAGTTGGGACGCACAAATTGTTGGGTGCGGGTGGATGCACCCAATAGTTTGCGTTCTTAATATCATATGTTTGGTAAGTATGAATATGGAATAAAGTTTTTTTTAAAAAAATTTCTTTTATTTTTAAAAGTATGGGCATGAGACAAGTCCAACTCTCACTTGTTTTCTAAACTCCATACCTTGAGAGTTTGAGGTTAGGATTTGAAATTCTTAAAATCATCAAACAAACATATATAAGGTATGTGTCTAAACCATTGTAAACTTATACCTCATACTTAAATTCTGTGAACCAAACACCCCTAAGATATCTTGCTTAGTAATCAAAATTAGGTTGATATGTGAGAGATTTTCGACTTAACGGATATTTCTCCTTATCTTAAAATTAAAATAAATTTTCAAAGAAAATAATCTAATTATTTGCGAAGAATTGTTGAAAAGGTAAGGACGAGAAGTGCATGCATACTATTAAGCTTTACATTAACATACCTATTCATGCTTTTATCTTACTTCATCTTAGTTATCTAAATCTATTACATCAACTTTTGTTTTTTCCTTTAAAAAAGTTTCTTAAATCATATACCACCCCCGTTTTCAAAAGTTCGGCTCACTTACTATTCATGTGTTCAAAATAAAATAACTTTGACTACATTTAATGACTTATACAATATAAATAAATTAACATATGGGATGTTATTATATTCCTCTTATTATAAATTTTTCAAATATTAATTTTTACTGTATAATTTTCTCTTATACATAGCCGAACATATTCATGATCAAAGGTGTTCATTGGAAATGTAAAGTGGTCGAACTTTCAAGAACGGAGAGAGTATTTATTATATTAATCATATGGAGCTTACAAGAATTGGGAGTAGAGTATAACAAAATATTTTCTTTCCTTTTCTTTGTCACCATCCATAATTATTTGCCGGATTTGTGACATACTAACATACCTATATGGAGGAATACATTCAATTCGATAGTAGGGTACACTCTATAACAACAAGCACATAAAGGATAAGATAGCTTATTATTATAGTTAGGTGAGGAATCATCCGTGCAATAATGCTTATTGCCAACTTCCCTACATACCATGTGAATTGATGACTACATATTCGGATAAACATAACGACTAGTACAAGTATGTACTACGTTACTAGTAGTAGTCACTATAAGTGGCTAGTTATTTAGTGTCAAGTAATCACCGTTATTGTTGACTTTTACAGTGTTCATACTACGGAGTTAAATTTAAATCTGGAGCATCTAATTCGATCAGGAACCAAAGAAGTAGTAAACCCAAGCCTTGACTTAGCTAAATCAAATTGCACCAAAACATCTTCCAATTGATACGCTCCTATAACAATTGATGCCCTTGGATTACTTCCACCATTCACAAAACCAAGACAATACGCGCTCTGATTTGGACTCAAGGTGCTGTACACTAGGGAGTTTGTCGCTTGCATCCGCCAAACCACCCCATTAGGCAACACTAGGTTGATGTCTGGTACAGAAGGCCCAATTCTCGTGTAAGGTAACGTGGAAGGATCGTAGCACGCCTCGAATGGTGCTATCGGAGCAACCCTTTTAGACTTATAGTTTGTCTTGAGTATGTTATCAAATTCGGTTATCAAAGCCTTGTAAATAGACGTTTCCATAATAGTGTAAGGATAAATAACACTTAGCATTGTTCCACCGTTTCCTTTGCTATCTATAGAAAGTAAGGACTTGTTAATTGGTACGTCTGCTTGTGATATTCTGAGTGCTGAAACTCCAATATAATATTCGGAGGGTCGGACTGGGTTTCGGACTAGAGGAGTGTACGAAGGTAGGGTTACTTCGACGTCTATATCGGAGGCAAAATTGTAAGGCCCGTCTCCGAATATAAGTGCACCATCTTCCGAAGGGAATGATGATAGGCAAAGAGCGAATTTTCGAGAGAAACTGAAAGTGGAGGCGAGTTGAGAAGGGAGGGACACATTAGTCCTTCCAAGACCGGCAACTCCGGACACTCCTTTTGCTAGGCCTTGTAACAATGACATCGGTGCGCAAACAAAGAGATAGTTGGGTATGGTCACTGTTTTACCCATGTTCGACCCGTTTATCGAGTTGATACGGATCACATCGGTGGCTAGCTCGCCGCCTGAGGGCGGGGAGATGTTTGTGACAGGGTTTTTGAGGGAAGATGTACTGCATATGTTGTTTGTCTTACAAATTTTCGCGTTGGCGAGAGTGCATTGAGGAGAGCCGCAGGAAACAGGGCGGTACGTAGAGGAGAGGTAGCGTTTCCCGCAGCTAACCCATAAGAATGGAGTACCAAGGTCGAGTGTTAAGGGTATGATTACTGGAGGCGTTCTTTGGAGGACTTTGGCTGTGAGTTGGAGGGTGGATGGGTCTCTTGAGACCGGGAGGGCTATCGATTTGGGGCGGTAGGAGGCGGCCGAGGAGGAGGTGGTGGTGGAGGAGTAATGGATGAGGAGAAGAGAGAAAATGAGAATATGGTAATGGTAGGAGGAAGGCATGTTTAGTTGATTAAAGAGGCAATGCGAGACACTGTATATATAACTATGTGTGTTGAAAATAATGGTCCTTTTTGAGGGTGTTGGAAAATGGCAATTGCATCAAAGCATCAACTATTGTAAGAAAGTTATCTTATTCGTCTAGTATTGTTATTAAGAGGTGGGGCTCCCATGACCTTGAGATGTTTACTCCATTTATGTATTTGTTCAATGTAAAAGAGTAATAGTTAGAGAGCCAAGTGATTGAGTTGATCGAATATATTACTCCATACAAGTGTAGAAAATCGACAATACCGGTCTAGAATATGGACATTGTTCTTCCAAATACAAGACTTAAGTACTCCATCCGTTTTTAAATACTTGTTTCATTTCTCTATGCGCAGAATTTTAGGAGAAATTAGAGAAAGTAATAAAATAGGGAGATAGTGGGGTAGTTGAGAAAATAAAAAATTATAAAAAGCAAAAGTAGTGGAAGAATAGGAGGAGAGAGAGTATTATGTTAGGTCCACCAAGTGTGAAAAAAGAATTAAATATTGTAAAAGCTTTCCAAAAAAGGAAATGGAGCAAGTATTTAAAAACGGAGGGAGTATCGATTAACTCATGAAAATCCCAATTTGTCGAGGGGGTATCTTAATATAGTCCCTAGACCATTATGATCGGATAAACTAACACACTGAAATTTTCACGTTTTGAATATTAGCGGTCCATTTTAAAATTATTATTTTAAGGGGAAGATGGAGAACAAGATCTAACGGAGGAGCTAGATTTTAGAGTGTTAGAGGATTTACTGGAAAATCTGTCTAGTAGAGACATATATGTTTACTGTTTTGTCATAATGACCTTATATGTTCAAAGTGGTCTAAATGACCTTATAAGTTAATTTTGTTGTTTGAGAGAACCTTGAGGTTGGAATATGATAATAATTGACTTATTTCTTTGACGTTGACTGCTCATTGTTGTATCTAGTCTTCAATTTGTGAGTTTTATAGAGAATTGTCCCCATGGAAAGAATATGAAAGGTTGGTCTTGTTTATTAACTAGTGTGTGCTATGCGTGTTATGAGTTGTGGGCCTTTTTGTGTGGGCTTGATCATGGACTTGCTAGTAGATGATTAGTAGTATTTAAGTATTTTATTAGAATATTTACTAATCATAGGCTAGCACTTAGGCACGTGGCACACGCGTAGTTAATTAATTATGACTAAAACGTGCCAATTAATTACTCCCTCCATCCCTAAATTACATTCCTCTTTGGAAATTTACACGGGAATTAAGAAGGAAAGAATAAGACAAATAACAATAATTAGATAATGAAATGGGAAGTACAAAGATAGATTAGTTATTACTCATGACATGTCATCAATCCTTTGCAAAAAAAAAGGACCAATCACATGCTCCTAATTGAAAATTTTTAACCAATCATATTCATTGTAATTTGGCACAAGGATTATGAGTGAGATTAGGTAAGGATGAGTGAGAAAGTATTAAATATAAAACAGAAAAAGAGAGTTGATTTACTAAAAAAACATACCAAAAATAGAAAGGAAGAATGTAATTTTGGAATACCAAAAATAGAAAGGAGGAATGTAATTTAGGGACGGAGGGAGTAATTTTTTTTTTTTTTTTCCAGATATTATAAGAGGCAGTTATATTTGGATAAAATAATTGCAATACTTATCTTTTATATAATCGATTAATTGGCAGTGGAAAATTATTATTTTTTTCTTATTCTTTTCTCACACAACGTTTTTCTCAAAAAACATGTCCATGGAGAGTGAAATTATATTGTATTTTCATTCTAAGAATAAGGAGAATCATGGGGTAAATTAGCATAGATTTTCCCATCAACATCATAGTGGGGGGCTAATATTATCCTAAGGACAGAGATTAATCACGTCTTATTCAGTTTGTATTTTCCTTGTAATTAGTTTCATATTTTCTGTAATTGTATTTTTCTAACACTCATGTTACCTTAAAAAATGACTTTTTTTTCCCATGATTTCCCTCAATTCCCTTATTTTGATTTTTGTCATTTGGGGATTAGAAGAGAGAGGAGGAATTGGTGGGAAATCGTGGAAAAAAAGAAAAGGATGTCATTTTCTAAGATCACGTGAGAGGTCAATGTCAGAGAAAAGTCAATAATTGCCGGATTCCGACCTCAAGGTCCTCCAAACAACAAAACAAACTTATATGGTCTTTTTAGACCACTTTAAATATATAAGGTCCTTTCAAAAAAAATAGTGAACATATATGTCCCTTTCATATAATTTTACCTTATTTTGATTAAACCTAACAAAAAAAGGACATTTGGATTTCTCTAAAGATAGGACCACTCTGAAATAATCGATAATTGGAACCTTTTAAAGAAGATGATCGTACCAATTGGTTGTTGGTGTAGTGGTGATTGGGACTACACTTGGTAGGGAGGACTCGTGTTCGATCCCCCGCAACAACAATCGGGAGGGGGCTGGAACCTAACCACCCAGAACTGATCCCCGAATCCAAATTAGCCCAAAGGGTGAACCGGGTGGAACAAGAAGAAAAAAAAAAAAAAAAAGAAGAAGAAGAAGATGACCGTCGTATATAATTGGAACTAATTGTATCGATTTTTCTTTAATAAAATTACTATGTACTTCGTATAGTATAGGATAGTGGGTTGAAATTTAATTTTGCATCTAAAAAATGATAATTTTGGAGGATTGTTGCATTTTAAACAACAGAGGGAGTATTCATGACTACACAATCCTTCGGGGAACCAACTTAGCTAATAGTAAGTAGGGTTATAGCGCGAGTTTATAGTTCATACTCCGTGGATGTTGCTAAATGCCATTGTAAAACTATGGTTTGCTATTATGCCAATTAACGACACCGCATAAATGAAAATGTTGTAACTAATAGAGACTAAGGAAGTCACTTTATTTGTTAGTAGATATTTTGAGATGTATATTTAATTTATCACATGTGTAATAATCTCTTAGTATTCTTATCCTATATAAGGTTAGAATCCTTATCTAATCTCATTATTTGTCGTAGAGAATAAACTATTTTGTTCTTTGGATATTAAATTATACTCCCTTTGTTCCTGAAAGAACGATCCATTTGTTTTGATTTCGCGGGTATTAAGAAATATAATTTGCAAGTGCAAATGTATGAGAAAACACAAGTCAGCAACCAATAATTTGCAATAAATACCTTGAGAGAAAAAATGAAGAGAGAGAAAGAGGAGGACATAAAAATTAATGGTGACACAAAGATCTGAAAAATAAAGGGTAAAATAGGGATAATGAACTACATCACAAAAATATTTGAAGATATATTGGTAATTTTGTGATTTTAATACATGTTGGATAAAAAAAATATGTCATTCTTTTTGGGACTAAAATTAGGCTAAATGGGTCGTTCTTTTGGGGACATAGGGAGTAGAAATTTGAGAGAAAAATTGAAGGCGTTGATTTTCATATCATTTCATTGGAAATCGAGGAAATGGGGAAGAAGAATTAGAATAATTTGTTATCCTATAAAATTATAGTTACTATAATTATTCTAAATCTCAATCTTTATTTTAAATTTGATAACTTGTGGTATTTACAGAAATTTAATCTAAATAAATTATAAAATATTTAATTAAAATTTATATATTTATTACACAAAATAATGGTTTAATCACTCATTTTAAAGTATTAGGGGAAACTTACTAAATACTTGGTGAGGCGAATTTATAGCCCATGAAATCATACAACATGTAATGTGATTCAACAAACTATTTGCTCATGATTAGACGATGAGAGTGGTCAATCACATCATGGTATTAGAATTTGTTGATTAGCTACTTGCTTCAACCCATTGTCGCCAAACATCCATCCTCTCATCGTATAATCAGTTTGAATTCATTTCTGTCAACTTTAATCTCGATTACATTGACATTCGTCGCCTATTATTTCATCACAATTAAATGCCAATTTGATTATTATTATTATTATTTGAAAATTTATCGAATCGAGACTACTAGTATGAAACAGTAGAGTACGGAGCAATACTAATAGAGACCAAATTATTTAATCTCAATTATTTTTCTTCAACAAAGAAATAAAATGAATTCTACTTTATTTGTATTATATTACCTTTTATGAGAAATTTGCCATCCATTTCAACTCATAATTTCATAGCTGTAGACACCCATTTGCGTCTCCCTAAAAACCAAATCCAGTGATGAGTACCTTTCACGTCGAATCATAATCGAATGAGGTGAAAGTGTGGAAAGCCTAGTGTTCCGGATAGTTTTAATTTCTTTTCTCTTCTCTCTGTTTTTGAAAACTTATTTTAAGAAAACAGTCAATCCAGTTTGGTTGGTCCATGGTATGGGTCCAATAGTAATGTAGTTGGATGAGGCTTGCAAAGAGCTTTCCAACGATATATTATAAGCCCAATTCCGATGAATATTGAGGAAGTCATGGCCAATTTACTAAACTGGGCCTGGTTTGAGCCTTATATGCGGCCCAATGATCTAGGGGAGGTCCTAATATGATTTATCATTCCTAATGCAATTAGGAATGGTTTTAGTCTTCTAGATTCTTCTAGAAGGTTTTTTTCATTCCTAATTCAATTAGCATTGATAAATTGACTTTCGTTGACTTTTCAGAGTTTTAATTAAAATCAAAAAGCATTTTCGAGGAAAAGATACGATTTTATCCTCCAGTACGGAAAACTTATCTGATTTTCGAAAACGCATCAAAAACAGGTCTGGCACCAGCCATTGGCGTCTGGTGCTAGCCATTGGCGCCTGGCGCCAATCAGCTGGTGCTGGCGCCAGCTCTGTTTTGCGTGCGCCAGCTCTGTTTTACGTGTACCAAGTGCTCTGTTTTGATATTTTATCTTTTTGGCTGATTTCTCTATAAATAACGTACTAAAAACTCCGTTTTCATTCACCTACAATCAGTTTTCATTCGCAATCATTCACCAATTCTCATAAAGTTTTCTTGATTATTTCATCTCTCTCTCTCTTTCTAAACTTTGTTTTCAAATACAAAATTCCGCATTCATTAGATCTAGAAACACCTAGCCATATTCGAAGTTGCCTTCGCCCTAGACGTGAAAGGTTTGATTTATGAGGGTTTGGTCCCAAATCTCTCTTTCAATTATTTAATTTGTTTGTTTTGTTTA